TGATGGTGGTTATGTGATGGTGATAGTGATGGTGATGCAATGGTGATGGTGATGGTGGTGATGCGATGATAGTCATGGTGATGTGATGATGATGCTGATGGCGATGGGGATGATAATGTGAATGGCGATGGAGATGTTGGTGATGGTGATGATGTGGTGGTGATAGTCATGGTGATGTGATTTGTTGGTGACGGTGATGGTAATGGTGATTATAAGCCACAATGGGGTTTAAAACTAACCTGTGGTAAAAATAACAGGGCTATGTCAAATGTAACTCCTTGACATATTATCAAAGAAGACCTAGAAATAATAACAGACAGGATGATACTAAATAAGTTGTTTAATCTTACCTTTGGTTTTAAACAATTTACTCTTGAATGTACGCTTTGTGTGTGGCAAAGGAGCAAGCAGTACTTCTAGAATTTATGCATTTTCTTTGATAGGTAATGAATTCTAGGAGAAACAAAGTGATTGCTATTACTCTGTTTTTCCTTAGGCAAAATCCAGATTTTGAAACCAATTTGTTAATATAAGGTTGATTTTGCCTTGAAATTAGTGATTTACAAGTTTTGTTGTTGTTGTTTTCGAGACAGTGTCTCGCTCTGCTGCCCACGCTGGAGTGCAGTGGCACAATCTCAGTTCACTGTAGTCTTTGCCTCCCAGGTTCAAGCAATTCTCGTGCTTCAGCCTCCCAAGGGGCTGGGACTACAGGTGCTTGCCACCATGCCCAGCCAATTTTTATATTTTTAGTAGAGACGGATTTCACCATGTTGGCCAGGCTGGTCTCAAATTCGTGGCCTCATGTGACCCACCCACCTCAGCCTCCCAAAGTGCTGGGATTATGGGTGTGAGCCACCACACGTGGCCAGTGATTTACAAAGTATTAAGGAGGAAAATAACATTTTAGGGCAATAAACTGATTACTGACTTACTGCTTTGGTAATTTACTGATTTGATCAATTTCTTCAACTGACTACAAGTGGTTTTTCCCTTTGGGAGAATTTTTGAATATTTTTTGATGCATATCTTCTTCCTGGCCTTGACCTTTCCTCTCTTCCTTTTCCTCCCTCTCCTGCCAAAATGTCCTCAGCATAGAAATTCCTGTATGATTTAGTATTGTTACACTATGAAAAGAACATTTTAAAATTTACTGAGTTGCTATTAGTTATATTAAGCCTCATTTATAATCTGTGGGACGGCACTTGTGGAAAGCCAGCACGATTTAGTTATCTTCATTTCTGAATCTGGAAGACTTTAATGACATGGAAAGAATCTCAGTTATTTAGTTAACCAGACAAAGCAGATTGTAGTACATTTGTACTACTTGCTTCTGTTTTATAAATAATACAGAAAGATGAGATGCATATCTAAGTATTTATGGATGTGTACAAAAAGCTATCAAGGATATACTAAAATGTTAATCTCTTACTTGTAGTATATTTTGAAAACATTCTCTTTTTTTTTCCTTTTTCTAACTTTGAATTTAAATTCTAAAGTTCAAAGGCAAAAAGACTATTTTTGAAATAAACCACAAAAATAATAAGTTGTTTTCACCTTTGACCTAGTAATTCTACTTTTAGGAAATACTCAGAGACCTGGATAAAGAAATTATATTAGCACTCACACACAAAAACGAAGCATCTGATGTCTTAAAAGAAGGGAGTGATTGGGCCAGGCATGGTGGCTCACGCCTGTAATCCCAGCACTTTGGGAGGCCGAGGCAGGCAGATCATGAGGTCAGGAGATCGAGACCATCCTGGCTAACACGGTGAAATCCCGTCTCTACTAAAGATTAAAAAAAAAAAAAACAAAAATTAGCCAGGCGTGGTGGTGGGCACCTGTAGTCCCAGCTACTCGGGAGACCGAGGCAGGAGAATGGTGTGAACCTGGGAGGAGGAGCTTTCAGTGAGCTGAGATTGTGCCACTGCACTCCAGCCTGGGCGACAGAGCGAGACTCCGTCTCAAAAACAAAAAAAAAAAAAAAAAAAAAAAAAAGGAAAGGAATGATTAAGCATATTAAATCCATAAATCATGTAACATTAAGATTGTTTTCAAAGAAATTGACCTGGGTATATGCTTATGATATAATGTGTAATGTTAAGTGAAAAAAAAATAGCTTATGTAGTATTGTTCTAATTATGTAAATTTTAAAAGTGTAGAAAAAAAGACCATAAATAAATAACCAAACTTATGGCAGTGACAATTTTTAGGTTTGGGGAATCATGTTTTTTTTTAACTTTTCAATGAATAGACATTCCATTTAAAATGAGATATACATACAAACGTTTATATATTTTTTTCAAAGAATCAGAATAAAATCTCTGATAACAATTCGTTTTGATGTTTTGGTAATAATTGGGAAGGCCTAGAACATATTCCTTTTCACTGTGTTCATCCAGTGCCTTAAGGAAACAAATAACGAATATGAGCCTTGAATTTCTTGGACACTTCTTATATACAGTTTAAACTTCACAGAAATATTTTTAAAAATCTCAAGCTTTAGGGAGATGGATTATAAAAGCAGCTATAGCTTGGACATATTATTGTCAATATGAGTATTCGGCACATTTGATTATCAACATAGTCAACTCTACTCAGTTGGTCAGGATTGTTCAATCAGATTGATAGACAATGGAGATTTTCCTGTTTCCTTGCATTCTGGACATTTTGAATGAGAATTGGTTCCACTAAATTGGTGCCTCTGTTAAGCTCCAGGACAAGCCCAGTGAATGAGCTGACTCAATTGTTTAGGCATCTTTGGACCTCTGAGTTAGGGGAAGAAAACTGTGGACTAGCAGTGCCTGTGCAGAGGAGGCCCTCAATAAATAAATGATGGCCACCTAAGGCACATTTGGTCTTGTCCACACTTCATCCCACAGTTTAACCTGGAAAGATGGTACTTTATGTATGTATATTACTTACATGAATGGTACTTTACCGGGGCTAAAAAGTAAAATAGGAGGAGTAGTTGTATTAACAGTAATAAAAAATACACTGAAAATCAGGGCTGCCAATTATTGGTGCACCTGCTGTGCTCCAGGCCCTGAAAGAGATGCTGGCATTTGTCTTCTCGTTAATCAGTGATGCCGCCCTGATTTGCTACAGGACTTGCCCTTTCTTGAGGATTCTAACATGTAAAAAGACACAATAGCCAGGCTCTCAGCACATATGGTGTCTAATGCCCTTCAACCCTTTCCACCTCTTGTTTTTGGTCTGTGCCCTGATGGTTTTCCATCTCCGTCCGTGGCAGATGAGATTCAAGGTGAGAGAAAGAACAAACCCTATAAGGTAATTCTGTCACTCACCTCATCTTCATAATCTTCCCTGAGCTTCCTCTGCTGCTCACCCTGGTATTGATTGTGTCACTGGCTATAGCAGACCAAGGCAGGGGGCTGCAAACCTTTCCGCGCAACCCTCGCCATTGCGCCTGTTTCAGCTCCAAGAAGAAAAGCCTGCTGTGAAAACAATCAGTGCATTTGCTTTAGATCTAAGTGATTCCAACTAGGTCGATGCTTCATGCTGATGTGTTGAAAACATTTAAAAAATTTCTCAGAGTTTGATTTCCACGGGAACATTGTGGCATGTGTCTCAGTGTCTGCAGTTGTTATTTTTCAGGAACGCAGCTGACAACTGCTTCCTGCCACAGCACACAAAAGCAGTAGGAAAACGGAGGCTTTTGTCTGGATGGATATTTACTATAAATGCTTTTTGGGGAAAGGGAGAAACCTCTGTGTGTGTGTGTGTGTGTGTGTGTGTGTTGTGTGTTGTGTGTCTGCGCGCATATGCGTGCATGCCCGCGTGCTCGTGTATGTAGGTTGGGTTGATAGCCACATGCTCTCTTGACCTGCCGTCAAAAAGATTTTTGTTTCTGTTTTCATGTTTGTGTTTTTACTCCTGAAGTGAATATGATCCAATGCTGATAGGGTATAAATGCAAGAGAATGAACTACCCTCTGGTTTGGGTTTGAGTTTTGAGATTTCCTTTGTTTTGGCACTGACGTACCTACAGAAATCATTCGTGATAATGCTAAGAGTTGCTTTATCTTCTAAAGGATCTAACAGATCTCTGCAAGTTTATGTCTATATCCAGAAACAATTGGACCTTTTCATCACGTTGTGGCATGCAGCAGTAAAATGGACATTATGAAAGGGAGCTATCCTCACACAAATTCATATGTGTTTAATCTCTGACAGAAATCTGGGATAATATTTAATTGTAGAATCTAAGATAACAAGTTTTCCACCTGAAAAGTAATCTCCCTAAAGAAAAGGAACACTGTGCCAGCATATATGTGGTGTATTGGTATTGGGGGGACACCAGAAGGGGTAACGGGCCCAGCCTAAAAGTGTTGGAGTCAGGGACATGGACAAGCATCTTATACCTGATCACATTTTTAAGTCCCCATTCTAGTTATTAATAATAGAGTTGGGTCGGGCGCAGTAGCTCACACCTGTAATCCCAGCACTTTGGGAGGTCGAGGCAGGCGGGTCACCTGAAGTCAGGAGTTTGAGACCAGCCTGGCCAACATGGTGACACCCCATCTCTACTAAAAATACAAAAGTTAGCCAGGTGTGGTGACTTGCACCTGTAATCCCAGCTACTCGGGAGGGTGAGGCAGGAGAATTGCTTGAACCTGGGAGGCGGAGGTTGCAGTGAGCCGAGATCGTGCCACTGCACTCCAGCCTGGGCAACAGAGCAAGACTCAGTTAAAAAAAAAAAAAAAAGATCCTAGGATTTGTTTTAAAAATATAGAACAATGTACCTACAATCCACACCTTCAAAATTACTTCTTTATTTAGAGATAAAGTTAGAGGGCTGACATTGGGGCTTCTTATTTTCCCATGTAGCTCCATGGGAGATCTATGGCTACGCCAAAGTCAGAGCCTAGGTGTTCAGTGTTCTATCTGCCAAGTCTTGTAAAACGTATGTGTGTCATTTCAGCTGAGTTTTCTTTGCAATGTCATCATTTAAATAAAATGTTGGGGTTTTCTTCTAGGCATGAACTCTCTTGGGTTGTGTTACCCTGTTTGCTGTTTACTGTCAAGATGCTGAAAGAATGTTCTTATAATGATCCAAGAGGAAGTGGCAAATGAGTGCTCTTCTTCAGGTATTTTGTTGATTTTTCAGAATGCCTACCAATAGGAAATTTCCGCAAAACTACAATCTGTGAGTTTATTGTATGAAATTGGAGGGAAATCATTGTCATGTTTCCTTTTGTCAAATGAGTGAGATTCCCTTTTGTTCTGATATGCTGCTTCTCCAAAATGTTAGATTTATTTTATGCTAGAATTATTCCTTAATTCATAAGCTGTATCCATGGGTGGTATTACGGTTTGTTTTACTGAACACCTACATTGAATATATATCTCTCTCCTTACTGTTTACATACTTGACCATTAGAGTTTACATTCTAAATACAAGCTGCACATAAATAACCTTTTATGGAATTTTATTTGCTATTTTTATATTTCATTTTAAAAAATAAGGCAGATGTGGCTTTTATGGGAAAAGATACTCTAGATTTTTGAGTATTACTTTACACTTCTATTTCGAGATGTCTGTAATTAGGAGGCCTAAAGTATTTTGGGGGAATGTTGGGTCAGTAACACTCCCAGTTTCCTTATGAAGGAAGTGGGAAGAAGATTTCAATGGAATGTATTCTGTCTTAAAGGCACAGAAAACTTGAAAGGAGACCTAGGTCATTGCTGATGGGTCTAGGAACAGAATTTATCTCCAGTTTTCTAATTGCTTCTTTTAAAATTAGATACATACTTTTAAAAAATGGGGCAACCATTCAGAATGTCTTGGTCTGTAGAGTTTTAGACTTTTAGAATGCTGGGGATAATATAATCAATTGATTCTACCATGATAATGATATTTTGCTGTTCCATAGCATAAAGAAGACAACATTTATGTTAAACATGGTCCGTTCCTTTCTATTAGCAGCATTTGTCTATAAACACCAAGGGAGTAGAGCTGCTGTAAGTCGAGTGGAGGAAATAGTTGTAATATGTCATCTTTCCAATGTCATTTCATTCATTTAAAAAATGAACTCCTTGGGTGTGCTGTAGAAACACTATTTGTACTTTAAATGTACTATCAAGAGCCCTATTTGTAAAGAATTTATGCACTTAATGTATGTACTCAGCTTGTCAGGTTACTTTGTTTCCAGATTTTTTCCCCTCAGAGCAATGAGAGAGTCCTCATGAGTTGCAAAAAGAAAAACCATAGGCTTATAATAAGCTTATACTGGCTCATGTGTGAAGCTTAGCCTACTATAGATTTTCCAGAAAATCAAATATGGATGTAGCGGAAATATCTTTTCTGGCTAGGAGAAGTGACTCATTATGAGACAGTTAACTGTACATCTCTTGGGAGTGTCTTTAAGTAGTTGCTTAAAAGCCAACGTTTAGCAGCAGAACCTTCAGAGAGGCATAACCCAATGCTGGCCGTGTACGAAAGCGGCTTTGCATGAACATTTCCCACAGGAGAATGTTTCAGACAGGGTGTGGAAATGGCAGGTGAATGAAGGTCTCTTCCAGCTAACTGGAAAAGCATGTTTTCAGGAGAGTGGAAGCTATAACTATAAAAATGAAGGTGAACATACTGAAAAAGAAGTGGATAAAATTAATTTTACAGAAATGATAACATGTTAGATGTTGTTTAGCAACTTTTAATGTTAAATCTTTCTCCAATGCCTTGGGTAATACAAAGACAAGTTTTATGAACATCTATGTGCAAGGCAAGTCTTAATTCACCTGATAAATCCTTGTGAAATATGTGTGGAATCTTATGGATTCAGAAAAAACTGAATTTTTTTTCATTCTTTGTCAATTTATCTTTTTTCTTTGGTCACCTCCACATGTTGCTATTGCTTAGACCCAGGAAGAAAACTGCAAGATTTTTTTTTCTCTCTTTTCTCCCCACAAGATTTCCTCCTAACTTCAAAGGTCCTGTGGATCATTCTCTCACAAATGTTGGAGAGCTCTTTTTCACAGTTGGCTATACAAATACATCCTGGTTTAATAAATGATGGAGCCTCCTACTGCTTAGTTTCCTTTTGTCGAAAGTGGAACTGTTTCCGCGAAGCTGTGGCTTGCTTCTTGCTACTGCTATTGACTCTTCTTTTCAATTAGTTGGAGTCAAGAGCCTTTGGGCAGAAGGATGGTACACCATAGATGATCGTCTTCCTCCTTGTGGTCTCCATTCAGATGACCACTGAGAATATTTAGCATCTTGCTTATGAATTTAAAAAAAATATGTCAGTAACTCTGTCAGAATATTCTGTTTTGTTCAGGAGCAGAATTTTTAAAATATATCAATGCCTAATAATTTGTTATTCTTAGAATTGATTTCCTTTTTTTTAAAATATGATGACTATTAATGGTACCTGTAGGTTTGATTTTATGTACATATTATATATCTATATTATATATATGTAATATATAGATATATAATATCTATATGTAATATATCTATATATAATATAGATATATAATATCTATATTCTATATAGATGTGTAATCTATATTATACACAGATATCTATATACTATATCTATATTATATATTATATATCTGTATACTATATCTATATTATATATAGATGAATAATACATCTATATTCTATATAGGTGTATATGATTACCTATATATAATGCAGTATATACTGATTACCTATATACAATACAATGTATACTATATAATAACAAATATTTATTGAATCTCCACTGTGAGCCAAGCAGGATTCTAGTAATGTGGGATATGATATAGTAATTCCAATTCATTGGTTTAATACGATTTATTAAGTGCAGGATCTATGTGTTTGATCACTAAGCTAGGACATGGGACAGAAAGGAAGACACAGTTTCTGCTCCAAAAAGCTCATAGTCCCATGACAGAGAAAATACAAGATGGTAAACTAAAAGTTGTAAAATCATGTAAGCACAGGAGCATTTTAAAAAGGTTAAAAACAATATAGTCCCCCGCCACCTTACAGTTCAGTAGAAAAGACTTTAGCTAACCAAAGTCAAATATTTATATTTACATAAATGTAAAACAGTGGTAAGTGTTACCATGGGGAGGTGAATGGTATGAAAGCTCATCATAGGAGACTTTGACCTAATCAGGGAAATCATCAGTGAGTATATCAGGGAGGTAAGACTGAAGGAGGAGCTGGAGTTGTGTAGGTCAAGACAGCGCTAAGCGTGCTTTCTGCAGATGGAACAGCGCATGCATAGTCCCTGCAGCTGAAATGAATGTGGCATGTCCGGTTTAAGGGACTTGAAGAAGGCCGACAGCCACTGTGGCAGAGCACAGAGAGCAAGAAGAGTGTAAAGGTGGCAGTAAGCCAGACTGTGGAGATCTTACTGAAAATTTGGTTTGATCAAGGGAGCTCTAGGGAACCAGTGAATGTCATAATGCCTTTGGGTGAGGAAGACTGGAGATGTTGCCCTGAGATGATCCTGTGTGTATAAGGTTTTACAACTTTTATTTTACCATGTTGTTTTTTCTCCCTTATGTAACCATGAGTTCCTTTGGGCAAGAACTGTGTCCTCTTCCCTATCCCATGGCCTCGCTTAGTGCCTAACACATGGATGCTGTACCCAATAAATACATATTAAATCAATGATTTGATATCATTTACTTATTCTTCTTGACTTTTCTTTAGCTATTAGTAAATACATTTTTACATAACAATGAGCAAAATGTGCACACTGGGCTGCGTGTGAACGTGTTATGGAGATTTGTTAGTGATTTCTGTAATCTGTCTGGGATCTGTTTACTTTGTACTGCTAAATCTAATTCTACTGCTAAATCACCATCTTTAGTTGCTGTTATTGTTATGTGTATTATCACAATATTCTTTTAACTGTTCTCCTTTGTTCGCCCATTACCTATTGTCAACCCAGCAACCATCTTATGATAACCTAAAGCAGATTACTGTAGCCCTGGCTGGAAAGCATCAGGAGGTCCCCACATCACCCAGAGTAGGAGTCACTGTCCTTAGAGCTGCTTCTAAGACCCTCCATGATCTTCCCCACCTCCTTGCCTCTCCTACCTCATCTACTACACGCCCCCTTATCCACCCTGGGGTAGCCATACCTGGCATTCCTGCAGTTCCTCAAACATTCCAAGCATGCTCTCATCTCAGAGGCTTTGAATTTTGTTTTCTAACCCAAATATTTGCATGACTCCTTTATATAAAACATTCCAAAATTTTTATTAAGCTCATTCCTAGATCGTACATGCATGCGTGTGTGTGTGTGTGATTTGAGCGGATTTTTTTTCAGAATTATCCTATTCTTTTATTAATGTATTGATTCTTCTGCATTTTCATCATATTATCTGCAAATAATGTTAATTTGTATTATTTTCCTAGTAGTTATACCTCATTTCTTTTTCTGGCCTTGCTGTATTGGCTAACATTCTCAAGTCAAATATAGCACACTTACGGTGATAGCAGGCATCTTTGTTGTCTTTCTAGCCTATTGAAAAGTCCTTGGGATTTGTGTTAAATACAGAATTTGCCTGAACTCTTTGAGTCGCAAATGACAGAAAGCCAGATCAATCAATGGTAATGGCTCACAGAAGTCTAGGGATAGAACTGTCTGCAGGTAGAAGTGATTTTTGATGTTCAAAACTTCTATCAGGGCCATATCTCTATGTCTCCATCTCTCACCATTATTTTCCTTTGTATCCAAACATTCTCAGAAATGCTCTCTCCATGAAGTAGGAAGTAGAGAATGATTCTGATTGGTTTGCAGAGTGTACAAGCCCACCCTTTAGTTTCTGTGTCAGGTGTGAGGATTGGTTGTGCCGGAAGCAGTGACCTGAACTTATTTGGTGACAAAACCTCACCTGAACTGACATGAAGTAAACCATTTACATTTTTTTTTTTTTTTTTTTTTGGTGCAGAGATATTAATCAGCTTAATAGTCCAGAATGTGCTGGGAGTATTAGTTAATATGTAATCTAAGTACTTCATTACCATTATAAAATTTATAAAATTCTGAGTTCTCATTTATGTCTTGCTCCAGTGGAATCACATAGGGGATTGTGAGCCAGTATAATTAAATTTTCCTTATGTATCTATAAATTAAATCTA